GGACGGTCCCGTCCTGCCCACCCTGTCCAGCGAGCCGTGCAAACGTCCTGCCGCGGGGCGCCGTCCGCGTCCCCGACGCCCGGTAAAGCGCTTTCCTTAAGCCGCACGAAAAGTCTGCTGGCTTGATGAAAAGGTCTAATTCGTATTTATGTGTGTTCATAGACACGGAGGGGGACTGCTCGGTCCCGACGCGCTCCCGTTTCCCCGGCGTGCCGTGGCTTGCGCCGTTTGGCGCAGGGACCGACGGCCTTCCCGGAGCAGGGCCGGGCTGCAGACTGTACCTGCGCCGGGAGGTGTTTTCTCCCGAAGTATTTCTGCTGTTTTGCTGATTTTGTGCCCCATCTCGCTAGCTAAATATTTAAACTCATCGGAGTATTGAATTTTGCTGGCGTACACTGCGCCAAGGAGAAATTAAACGGCCTGCACTTTCTCAGAATAACCTCACGCATCTCTTCCACCCCGCACTGATTTAGATTTCTATTCCTACACAAGATGCGATAATGTCTTGTCGCAAGAAAAATACGAAAACAAACAAAAAAACCCACCAAAACCCCCCACAACAGCTTACCACCGTGCATTTTATCTGTGGAAAGTGTCCCCTTGTCTGCATTTTCTATCATGTCAGTCTTTAAATTAAAGTTAAATTTAAAAACTTTCCCAAGGTACGAGAAGCCTGAACTTTCCCTGAGAGAGATTTTTCTACAATTGCTCGTAGTGCAGTAATCGCAGCACCCTACCAAATGACACAACTCTTATAAAAGGCAGAACCGAAAAGCCTGAAATTGTGCTTTCCTGTATGGCATCTGGCAAGAGGGAGAAAGACATTCCCAGTTTACTTCGAACAAAGGCAATATGACTACGAAAAGAAGGTTTAGGCGACGGTTAAATGTATAACATTAATTATTGTTCACTACAAATTCCACGAGCTTTTAAACGCGCTTTTAATTTAGAGAATCACCCTAATAATTTGAGATGGTTAGAAAGCGGAAGGGTTTTCCACCTTGCATCCATGCAGTGATTCAAATTAAATAGTAGGGGAGGAGAAAACATTGAGGCTAAAAAATAGCAAAAGGAAAGGTCGCTTAACTTTATGTTTGTGGATATTGAGTATGGCGAGGATAAATGAGTCTGGAAACGGCACATAATTAGGATGACCCTTATTTGCCCTTAGCCTAATTTCCTCTATTAAATAAGATGGTGACAGGGTGACACGCATCTGCCTATGCCCGCGTGGCCCTATGGGCTCTGGGTGCCAGTGCCGAGGTGCAGGGACGAGGCGTGGGGCCAGTGGAGCCGTGTGTCCGGGTGTGCTGATGCAATGCCCGGGTGCGCACACCTAGGTGCCTGCCTCGCTACTGCACTTCCTCAAAACGGCTCCTTTCCGGGCGGGAATTTGAGGGGCTGCTGGCGGTGCTGCAGAGCGCCAGCTTCTCCCGGGGACCCCCGCTGCAAAGCCGCAGCGGCTCGATGTGAACCCTGGGCCCCCGCAGGGCCGAGGCGCGCCGCGGGGAGGGCTCCGGCCGCTTCCCTGTTCCTCTCCTGTGCCCCAGCTTGGGCTGGTTCTCCCCCTTCTC